TGGCCTATACTCCTGTCACGGTAGAAGTGAGATTTATTCACTGTCACTATAAAGCTGTGTAGACGTGGTGCTCTTCTGGTCCTCTTTCAACCCATTAGCCAAACCAGGATTCCCTGATGGAGAAGATAAAGCAGGAAAGGATAGGGACAGTCAAGTGGGATGGAGGACTGTAAGAAGAAACTGACAGGCTTGAGGTATTTATGGGTTATTTGCTCTTATGATCATGATGTATGTTTCATATTGCTATCAAAGACCCACTTCGTCTTCATGGGTGAATGCTTTTTCCAGGCCCTGTTACAGTGCAGAGTGACCATTAAGACTGAGTTGCAGCCAATGGACTGGGAATAGATGTGTGCATAGCACCTGGAATCAAGGGTGATGAAGTCAAATGAGCCCAAGTTCCCAGAGAAGTGTAAGAAAAAAAACCTGACAGTGCTACTTGGGTCATACTATACTTTGGGTCTATCACTAACTGCAGTCTAACATGCAATCTCATTATTTCCTCTAGAATACCTTACCTATAAAACGCTTATTTTTTTTTTTAATGTCAAGACGCTTTCTTTACAGAACTTTAACTAAAGACAAAAAATGTGTGTGCTGGGGAGGTTATGTTCAGAATTTCTAATTCTAAAATCCAGCCTGTCTTATCATCTAACAGTGATGCAAATGCTAAATATATGTCAAAGCCTGATTAGGTTAACTAAGGTTAAAGCCATGCTTTCCCAAAGTAAGTGAACTACCAAGGTGTAGGCTGAACCTTTATAATATATGGAAATCTGTTGGGTAGTAACATCTATGGTAACACAGATTTTAGCAGATTCTCCTGGGAGACTTGTAAACTTGAGGAACAAGGAATACTGATAATTGTGAACTGTCAAGGGTCTTTTAAGTATGTAAAAGAGGACTGCATATGAGAAAAAAAGAACGAAATAGGACATATATGCCTTTGTCTGAAAGGTAAAAATATTTAAGTGGGATAATACTAGAATAACCAATTTGAGAGCGATATTAACTTTGAAACAATCAGGTACTATACTTGGAGAAATTCATCAAGTGTGAAAAATAAAGAGGCACATCTAGAGAGGACAAGTTTTTAAACATCTGTTCTTTCATTCAACAAGATGGCACAACTGTGACACTGTACTTTATCCTTGTTTCTGCTTCTCCAATTCTTTCTCATGTTTTCAACAGGACTCCTCACAGGATCTACTGACAAAGGAGTATTTTACACCTATTACTTCTACTGTTTTTTTTTTACACTAATTTGCCATAAAGCATATATGAAGTTATCATTTTAAGTATTTTATGCATTCAATTAGTATATTCAAAATATAATTGCAACCTTTTATTGCTATCCATGTAAGAATTTTTTCATCATCTTACACTGAAACAGTGCCTATTACACAATAATGCAATTCTCACCATAAACCCATGCTAACCTCTATCTCCTATCTCTATGAATTTGAATGCCTCATGTAAGTGAATTAATATTTGTCCTTGTTGTCTGGCTTATGTTGCCATATCTATCAGAATTTCATTCTTTTCATTGTATGTGTATTACATTTTACCCTCATCTGTCAATGGACATATCTTTCAACTGTCAGAATGATGCTGCATTAAACATGCGTGTATAAGAACCTGAGCCTCTCCTTTTAATTCCTTTGAGGATACAAGGCATGACTAAAAAGTACAGCGAGTGTTTAAATTTAATTTCTTTATAAAAGATATATGATTAACCTCTCATGAAATGTTAATTCCCCTTGCTTTGAAGACCAGTCATCCTTGCTACTTTGTTTTGGAAGTCTCTGTTCATGAGTGCTTCAGGCTTCCCTAGTGCTGCAAATACAGGTGTGCACTACCACATCCAGAATCCCAGCTCAGCACACCTGGGGGTGGGGCCAGCGCGGCATGTAGTGCCAGGAAGCAAACCCTGGCCCCTGCGTTTACCTAAGCACTTAGTCCACTGAGCTATGATGCCAACCCTCACAGGGGCTCTTTTTAAGTTCAACAAATTTACATATTAATGTAATGAAGTGAAAAATAAGAATATGGTGAATGCTGCTGAGTGCCATCCACTGGAAAGGGAGGATCATAAAAAATTGGTGTGTCTTCCTCCATGTTATTTACTGGATCTGGCATCATGTGACTTGTGCCTCTTCTCCAAGTCAAAATGAAGATGAAAGGTAGTTTGAATTGATTTAGGACATCAAGGCAGCCTCAAGAGCACAGCCAGACACTCACAAAAGATTTGCAGAACTTCTTTACAAAGTGCCAAGAAAGACACAATTTTACATTCCCACCAGCAATGTGCAAAGGTTCCAGTTTTTCCATATCCTCATCAACACTTATTTTCCCTTAAGTAGTTTCTTTACATCAGGAAGAACAATTGTTTCTTTGTGCTAAATACCTTAACTACTAATATTGAGGAATATATTGTTTATCATTAACTTACTGAAATGATGAACAACAGGAAAAAGAACACTGCCATGCATTCCTTTTTTTTTCCATTTTATATATTTGGTACAGGGTCTCACTATGCAGTTCACACTTGTAGTGATCCTGTTTTCAGCCTCACCAGTACTGGGATTACAGGAGTGCATCACCATGTCCCGATTCTGTTCTCAGCGTGCCCCAGGGGTGGTGTGGCATGCGGGGGTGGGGACTGAACCGTGCTTGCCAAAGCAGGTGCTTCACACACTGAGCTATCTCGCTGGTCCTTCATGTATGCCTTAGCTACCCCACAGTCGTCTTCATTTTCTGAATCAGAGGATCTTATAAACATTTTCCAGGGCTGGAAATATAGCTTAGTAGCATAGTGCCAGCCTGGCAAGCAAAAGGTCAGGAGTTTGATTCCAGTACACACACACACACAACCCCACAGGATCCTGCACAAAACAAAGTCATTATAAAAACATTTTCCAAGGGCTGGCCAAATAGCTCAGCAGAATAAAGCGCCTGCTTAGGCAGATGCAGGGGCTGGGAGTGTGATGCCGGCCCCAACCCAGGGGCATGCTGAGAGGGCGATTTAGACTGGGCATGGTGGCACACACCTGTAATCCCAGCACTTGGGAGGCTGTAAACAGGAGAATCACCGAGTCCAATCTACCCAATCTATGCAGTGAGACCCTATCCTAAAATACAAAAAATAAATAAAAATACATAAATAAAAATATTTTCCAGCATCAGGCTTAGAGCCTCAGAATTATAACCTGTTTCATTTACTCAGGTAACTCCACGTATGATCCACTCCATTGCTTGAAAAAGCAGTGTTTTCCCTAATAATAAGACCATAGCCAAAGGGGCTTTTTAAAATATTTTTTTGTTTGTTTGTGCAGGGTCTCACTACACAGCTCGGACTTGTAGTGATCCTCCTGATTTCTGGTGCATGCCCAGGTTCCTGGCTCAGCACGCCTGGGGGCAGGGCCCAGGGCCGGCATGGCATGTGATGCCAGGGATCAAACCCTGGCCCCTGTGCTTACTTAAGCAAGCACTTAGTCCACTGAGTTATAATGCCAGCCCTCACAGGGGCTCTTTTTTTTTTCCACAGGGGCTCTTTTTAAGTCCAACAAGTTTACATATTAATGTAATGAAGTGAAAGCAAGTAAAATCAGACCTGAGGCTTTGGTATTGCTGCAGTTATTTAACTTTATTGTATTTTTAAAACATCAAAATTGTAAAATACAGCATTTATATAAACACCTGAGGACTGTTCAAATGGGCACAGTATCTTTTTACAAGCAATTTGAAAGAAGACCAAGATTTAGTAAGAATCTAGTCTCATAACATAAGGACTAACACAGATGAAGTGATCCTTCAAATAATTGCATTCTTATCTAAAGTACACTTAGTTTTCTAAAATTGTACATTCTTGTCCCAGTGAACATTTTAATGGCATTTAAAACAAATGGCTAATACTTTTACAAGTGATTTTTATAGCTTATTAATATTACCTAAGTTGTAACAATAAACGTATAGCACCATTTCCCCCTGAAAGTTCTAACCTTCAAAGACCAAAATAGAACTAATGTATCTTCCCAAATGTAGGAGAATAAATGGCTCAGAACCAAGAAAATTAGCAAGAAATATTGCATAGGATAGAGAACGTCCCTGCATGGAAACCAATCTACTGATTGTTTCTTATCACCTGAAGAGCAAGCTGAGAGGTACTGGTGATAGCAAATGATGCACATATTTTTGTGGAATAAAAACATCTAACTATATTTATAGCTCACTCTTACCTCTGGCAGTGCAAAGTGCCATATTAAAATCAAAAAGAAAACACTTGTGTATACCTACAAGAATAGAATAGTATATAAATATGGTAAAGTATCCATATGAAAAATAAACACATACAATAAAATATATATCTCTTAAAAATCTGGACACAGATAGAGAGATATGTGAAATGAATGCCTAATGTTCAAGCTTAGCAAAAATATAGGTTTACATATATGTATTTTAGTGAAAAAAAATGAATCCTATTCCACTTAAACCACTCTTGTAGTACAAACACCTGCACAAAATGTCATTCTATCAGTCCTGATTTAAAAATAATAATAAAAAAAACAGGTAAGAACACTTTATGAATGCTAATAAGCTTGCTTCTTCCTTTAAATACGAACAAATACAACAGTGAAAGAACTAATAACAGAAAGCAAAAATAATTTATAGGGCTATTTCTTTTCTAGAAATTCTTAAAACATGAACAGAACATTATAGAATCAGAAAGTATCTGAGCAAGAGACAACAGCTACAGGTACATACGTAAACTTTTTTCTGAGGAAAAATTCTCATGGGTTTAAATATAGAAGCTGTTAAAACTCTTAATATTTTCCTCTTTGGGATTTAGCTGTTTTGGTTCTGAATATAAAGATTAGGCCAAATGAAAGGGTTTTCTGCTTACTGCATTATGTATATTTGTAAAATATACAATCAAAACAATAAAGATACAAATGAACTACCAATTTGAATATGCTAATATTAGCATGTTAGATGGCTTTTTAAGAAGTAGACTGGACTGTTAATATAATTCTATAATTCTGACAATATTTTTATAGGAACTTTCTACAAAATAAAGACTGCTAAGAAAACTACTTTTAAATTAAAATGTTATCAGTACACCTGAGAATTATATCCAATCTAAACTGACTTTTTTCAATTATATTTTCCTTCTTTAAGTTTTTCAATGTAGTAACACAGCTTTATTGCTGGCCCCAGCTTCAGCCCCATATACTTCATCATCACTTCACTCTTGAGTAGAAGCAGAGCTTTCCCATCAATCTCCTACAAAAACAAGAGAATTTCAATAATTAATAAATGCTTTCATATTTGTCAAAACATTCATTCATAGAATTTATAACAGACAGCAGCTGTATGAGATCTATTCTATTCCAGATCTGTAGTCTGAATATACATTTAATTCCTGAAAATTATTAAAACATAAGTTGTATGGTGAAGCATGTGAAAATTTGTAATTTTTTCAAATTTTAAGTGGAAATTTAACATAGTATCTTTTATGAATATTATGAATGTTTTAAGAATCAAAGTAGCTGATCTTAATGACTTAACTGTTTAGTCCAAATGTTACTCAGGGAGCTTATTTGTTTACCTACTATCCTGCACATCTCTCAGGCAGGTGTCATTTCAACCAGTTGATTCCTATACTGAATAAATTTCATAAAATTGTCATTTTTATATTTCCTGTTATTTTACAAAGAATAACAAAAATATGTAATTTTTGGTCATCTTGTATTTAAATAATTGGACTGGTAAGTGGTTAGTGTATGTTAAACAAAATATTATGTATCTATGACAAAAGATCAAAAACTATGAATGGTGGAAAAGACTCTCAGATGATCATTAACTTTCTTTTCTTACTCTTTTTTCTTTTTCTGAGACAGGGTTTCATCATGTAGTTCAGGCAGGCCTTGAACTCACTAGGTAGCCCAAGTTAGCCTTGAACTCCTGGAAATCCTCCTGCTTCAGCCTTCCAAATGCTAGGATTACAGGTGTGAGCCACCAAGCCCAGACAGTCATTATCTTTCTAAAAAAGGCTAGGAATATGCCAACATTAATGCAAGCTATAAACATTCTATATAGTGTTAAGTTTATAAATTGACCAGTTAGTTGTCGGAAGTTGGTTAGATGCTAAAACTGATTTTCTTAACACTATTAGAAATGGTACATCAGAAATTAATATTGCTACTTTGATATTAGAAAACAAGGAAAATATTGCTTAATAGTCATAAGGCCTCCTCCTAAAATTTCTTATTAACTGATTTGTTATGAAAGCATTGTTTGGTATTAATTTCTGTTTAAAACAAAGATGTACTTAATCTTACAGTTATTGGATTAGGCCACCTTGTTAGTTTGTGGCCACCCTCTCTGAATTCATGGTCCAAGGGCCAAGGGACCATGCTACATGTAACTACATCTGTCATTACATAAAGGGTTGTCCACCAGAGGGTGGTGATATTAAATCATCTTGTCTTGAGAACTTAAGGTAGTTTAGTTATTAGGCACCTGGATACACATTTTAAAGAACATACCACTAACCTTCCCTTAGAAGAACTAGTACTGAGCAAAATAACCATTCTCACAAATGGAAAAAAAATCAGTTGAGAGGGTTCCTCCATCTACACAACTGATTATCCAATAGAAAGGCCTGCATAGAGGTCATTCAAAGGCATTATGGCAGCAGGAAAACCAAATCAAGATACATTACATGTTGCCTGAAGAGTTCCGCGAGGGGGCCTGATATCTGAGGATCTGTATCTTTCATAAACTGTATCACTTCATCCACAGACCAGGTTGAAGGGTCCTTAGATAGGTCTTGTTTCAGGACACTGGGGTCAGGTACAGCTATATAAGCTGGAGCTTCAATGGGGGGAAAAAGAACAAATCATACTTGACCTGATCATTATCCTGAAAGAAGAGATGTTAAGTAGGGAGCAATGGTCTCTTTACTGAAATCTTCTGTTAAGAACTTAAGCAATGACTCAAGATTCCAACTGTTGCAATCTATGAAAACCTACATAAAGATGATCTGAAGATAATGACAGAAGAATATCCCATCTGACCTCCCCCAATTAGCCAAAGCAGCTTCAGAAGTTCCACTTAAGATTCAAACATCACAAAACACTGTCAGCCAATCTAAGGCCTCTTTGGCCCCAAACAAATAAAGTAAAAAGATCTGCCAATGAAGTTAATTACTCTCTTAATTTGTTTAAATGAATTTCTTTCATTCTGTTAATTGTTCTCCCTTGTCTAAATAAGGTTTATTTTACTAGCCCAGATTTAGTTTTATGATTGCTTATATTTGTGTGCATTTGCAGTGATGGGGATGGAACCCAGGTCTTTATACCTGCTAGGCAAGCTCTATCACTGAGCTACAATCATTAGTCCTGAATTTGTTCACTTTAATCAACAAATTTCAATAACCCTCTATCCTGAAGAACCAAATTTGTTGTTTCACCAAATCTTTCCCATGTATTCAATATAGATATTTTTAGCACCCAGTTTACTCTTTAGATTTCTTCTCTTGTGGCTTAAACAATCTGCATTTTGAAAAAAACAAAGTATGTCAGAATAAACCAACATTTTATTCAATTTCTCTTTCATGTTTAGTTACATAGCAACAGACTATTGTTTTGTTTGAAAATTTTTATGTTAAATAAAGAAATAACTAAGAACTGGTGGCTGTATTCTCAGCTACTTGTGAAGCTGAAGCAGGAGGATTCCAAGTAAGAAGCCAACCTAGAAACTTAGCCAGATCCTGCCTCAAAATAATAGAGATTAGAGATATAGCTCAGCATTCCCTGGGTTCAATCTCCAGTACCACAATTAAAGTAAGAGCAAAGTACAGTAAAGAAAAATAAAATGAAACAAATTTAAGTACTTAAATTTCAATGGGCTTTAGTTTTTCGCTAAGTTTTACTGAAATTTATTTGTGTTCTGTAGATATCCATTTATTTAAAGAGAAAGAAAGCTAGAATTAATTAAGAGTGTGAAGATAACTGAAGAGAGTTATATAATTTGTGAGGAAGAGTTATTTCTTGAATCAAGAGTTAGTAACACAATTTGATGGATTCTGTGTGTGAATTAGTCAAAGGCAAATCCTTCCTCTCCTTTTCATCATCTGGACCATGATTATATTAGGAGCATATGGAATATTTATCCAAGGAAAAGGTACAATAAAAGAAATTTCAATAATTATTTTCTGTATGTAGTTCTAAATTTTCTTTCAAATATCACAACATCCAAAATCTTCACACTTAAATGTCTTTTTCCCCTCTACTTGCCAGAGGAAATTTCTGTTGGGTTGTATCAGTCCAGGTAAAAATGATGGTGTTCACTATGTCTGTATAAGGTATTGTAAGTTCACATAGAAAAGCCTTCTCCTTATGACACAATTTAATATTAAAACATTATTGGCAAGGTTAATCCTGCCTCTAAATTACTGCACATGTAATTAGTTTTGCAAATTACTACAGATAAATTATATGTAAAGATATGACTCCTGGAATAAACTAATTTTATACTAAAAATAACTACAATTTTTTTATCTTTAGTCCATTATTATGGAAAGGTAATTTAATTTGGTTCCATTTTCAAAACAATTCTAGAAGGCTGTAAACATTATATTATTCAAATATGAAACTAATCATGTGAAAAATTACCCAAGTCCTATCATGCTGTCCTTCTGAACGCTTCTGTCTTATGTATATTGAGATACCAATAAATATTTCTGAAATAAATATAGTGAGTGTGAGTTGACTTCCCTTAATGTTACTTATGTAGATTTTTTTTTCATTCAAATAATGGAGCAGGGTAGGCAGGAGGTTGTGTGAACATTACTGGCTGTCGAGAGTGAACTAATTTTTAAGTAAGAATAGTGATACTTAAAGAAAATAGTAGTAGCACATACTTTAGAGACAGTTCTGAAGTAAAATGCTTACCTGTTTTTGAGAGACGCAGTCCCCACAGCAGCTAAGAATATGGCCCTTGAACCAGTATGTCTGGGTTGAAGGACTGGTCCAGCCATTTTGGAAGGATTTTAGCAAAATTACTTCTGAAATTTTTTTCACCTGAAAATGTTTACCAGCACCTATATCTCACATAATTAGTTAACTGATATAATAATGTATGAGGCCATATAAAATACTATGTGTCTGACATACAAGGTCATGTAATGATGAAGACAATGATTTCCATTCCCACTGAGTAAATTACTAAGAAATAATATGATTATGATTAGTGTTTCCATTCCTAGGAAAACCAGATGCTAGGCGTCCAAAACTCAAATACAAACCACCACCGTGGCATGGTAGTTGTTAGGCATACATTTGAAAATGAGGTATTTATTATAGGAAGAAAACTTTTAGACCCTCTTAATGAAGCTTGTCTTTGAAAGTTCACATTTTGTGAAAATAATTAAAATTTCAGGGTATATTATCCTTATGGAATAAACATCTATCCTTAGACTCTGAAAATAATGAAACTTTTAAAAGGAGACACAATCTCCACAGGAGGTGAGAGGATGGAAGTGACTTAATGTTTCTTGATGTATGTGGAGGAGAAGCCACCTACAGAAAACACCCCTGATAAAAGACAAGAGGGTTACTTGGTTCACATTTCATTCACTCCTCAATCTGGCCTACAGATACCAACCCAGAATAAAAAGATGAAATATATATTATATATTCACACACTCATTCTCCTGCACTCTTAACCCATTAAAGTATTTAAGACAGCGGCCGTCTTTGCATATGGAAGGCTGTTCTAAACATCAGAGTTTCTCTCTGAACATCAACAAGATGTTTCCCTGTTTAACACAAGCTACACCTTCCTTGTGGGTCTGAGAGAATAACAGAGGATATGGAAAATAAGGAAATGACATACTATAAACCAGACCCCCAATCCATGAACTGTACTCAGGCTGGAGCATTAAAAGACATCAAGAATATATGAGAAAGGAGGAGAGACAATGTGCCTTTCAAGGCCTCAGAGATATAAATGATTTGTGAATCCAGACAGTACCCAAGAAACTGACAAATTATGATTGCTAAATAATTAATCTGAGAAATCCCTATCAGAGACATGATGGGTAATCCAGATCCCCAGAACCAGTTCTGTGATACTATGAGTTTTGGAGCATCCATAATGGTTCAGCCCTGACAGTGATGTGAAAGGAAGAACCCAGCCTTGCCAATTTTGGCACTTTGTGCAATGTGATACACTCTCAGAGGATGCTGTCTGGTGTGGAAGCATCAAAGAGAACGATGGGAATGTTGGCTGAGAATTGCATTTTAAATATACCTTCATCTGTACTCTCCGTTTCGAATGCAGCTTCATAGTAGCTACTGATGGGAGATGACCTGGTCTCAGCTAGCGGTGAACTTGAGGTGCTTGGCTCATTTTGAGGAAAATCACCATGGACTGAAGAATGTGTAAGACTGCTACAGACAGGATCCAAAGGATCTCCTGAACTTAATGGTGAAGTCTTCAGTATTTCAAATTCTTCTTCTTTTGGCATATCTTTTGCTTCAGGAGACAATGGTTCTTCTACAGGGGACAAGATAAAGAAGATTATTTTCAACATAAAATTCAAAATACTACCAAAAAGTTGATCTCATTTCCAACAATTCTTCACTAAATTCATGTTGTATCAAACCACAAATTTCTAACCAAAAGTACACAGCCATTTCCTACTCAACATTTATAGTAATGGACACTATCTTGAAATCCAAATTAGTTTTGTAACACCATACATATTTTCACAGAAATTTATTTTATATCTTTATTTGGTACAGGATCTCACTACACAGTTTAAAGTCATTGTGATCCTCCTGTCTCAGCCTCCCCAGCACTGGGATTACAAGTGTGCACAACCATGCCTGGTTTCGGTGGCCAGTATGGTGTGCCCATTCTGGGGCTGCCATGGCATGCAGTACTGGAGATTGAACCCGGCCCCAAGGGCTTGCCAGGCAGGCACTTAGATAGCCAAGCTATCTCCCCAACTCTTCAGGGAAACTTAGTACCTCCTGCTAGTAGTCTCCCTCCCAAATCTATCAGCATCTCACAAAAGCATTTGGTCTCAGAAATGTAGCTCACAACTTGCTATATATGATCACACAGTTTGATTCTAACATTTACTTACTACTTGAGCATTAAACATTTTTACTGGAGAACGGTACTAAGTTTTTCTGTTCTATCAGTTTTTAGCAAGACAAAGATGAATATGAAAGGTTATCACAATATGTTTATGGAAAAATGACAGCTGAATGCTTTGAAGGGAATGTTATGCCCACGCTGCTAAAGTAGTAACCTAACTGTAATGAGCAAATACATTTACCTAACCACTAACACCATCACCATAAGAACATATATAATTTAGTAGAGGAGGAAATTTTCTTCCTAATCTTGAATCATGTAAAGCTATTTACCTTTACAAACATGCAGCACCATTTTGGACTGTTTAGGAGAAACAGGAACCGCACAAGGTACAGGTTGCTGAGGAGATCGCTTCAGGCTTTGCTTTTCTGGTGTTTCTTCTTTCACTTTTTCTTTTGTAAAAAAGAGTCTGTTATAAATATTCTAGCATTTTCATATAATTTGCACAACAGCTCTCTGCCTAAATCATTTGCATACTGTTACTTCAACAGTATCAATCATTTGCTCATGAATAATATTTTTACTGCATTCTACTAAATATTCCCATTGAAACATTTGGGAGTAAGAAATTTTCTAAGAGGAATGTATTTAAACTTCATTTATCCTGGAGTTACCATATTTCTCTAAATACCTTAAAAGACAGTGAAGCAATCCATTATGTGTCTTAAAAGGCCTGGGAAAATTGCTCCTTAAAATTTGAGAGAAGGAAAGGTATAGTACAGTGGACATTTATGTTGTAGACAACACTGACCTAGGGTGCCTGCCCTTATAACAACTCTACTGCATATATATCATTCAATATAATGCACTTCTACCAAGAAGCATTTCTTCAAGCACCATCTTGAAAGTACAAACCTTTACTAGTCATTGGTTTGGCACCAGAAGTGTTTTAGATTTTAGAAGGGGCTTTTAGGGGGAGGTTGGTATATCTGTATAGACTTTATTGGTTGAACATCCCTATTCCAAAAATTTGAAATGCAAAATACTCTGAAACCCGAAATTTTTAAAGCATTAACATGGTGCTTAAAAAGTTTTGGACTTTGGAACAGTTTAGATTTCAGATCAGGAATGTTCAATCTATAGAAATATAAATTAATAAGTCTGGGCATTATGGCACGCACCTGTAATTCCAGAGCTGGGGAGGCCAAAAACAGGAGAATCACTACGTCGAGCTGCATAGTGAGACCCTACACATACACAAGAAGAAATATATATTATAGTCTCAGTTAAATCACTCACAAAAAAGAAAAATGAGGTACAGAAAATTTAAAAGTCTAATATTAGAACTCAAAAGAGAAGAAAGAATGCCATGAGGAATTACCAAAGTCAAATTCTATCTTCTTCAAAATTTTGTCTGGGGACTAGGTATACATCTCAAAACTGTATAAGAAGTAACTTTTAGCAATCTAGTTCCCAACTACACTTGAGTGTTATTTTTAATCACAGACCACTAAAAATCAATGGGTAAATATTTCATATATAAGTAATGCATTTTTCCCAGTTAATTACAACATTTAAATTCTAAGGAAAGAGAGCTGGGGATGCAGATCGGTTACAGTGTATTTGCCTAGCACAGATGAGGTCTTGGGTTTGATTCCTAGGATCACTAGCACTGCAAAAAATAATTTCTAAGGAAAGAAATAATTGGCTTTTTCATCTTCATTTAATGATACAGAAACATCTAGTGGGAAAAATATATGTGTATCAGTGCTAAGGATTAAACCCAGGGACTTTACACCAAATTATATTTCAACCTGTTTTTTATCTTGAGATAGGGCCTCACACCAAATGACTAAGTTGTTCACGCTGGACTCCAATTTGCAATCCTCTTGCCTTAAGTCTCCCAAAGTGTTGCAATTATAGCTATGTGTGTTACCATGCTCAGCTTCAAATAATCATTTTCATTTACTTACCTCAGAATCTAAGGTATGTTTATTTTTCTATTTATAATATACTAAAGTTCTTATTTATTTATTTATTTATTTAATTTTTTGCAGAACCGGGGATTGAACTCAGACCCTTGTGCTTGCTAGGCATGTGCTTATTCTACTGAGCCATCTCCCCAGCCCCTAATATACTAAAGTTCTAGAAAGATTTTCAAAGCTGGTGTATGGTCCACTATGTGGAGCTGAACAAACACAAAAGTAACTCTTCACTTCTGTTTCTGGTTACATTAGTGTTTCTATAGGGATAACTAGAAAAAGCCAGATAATTTACAAAGTACTTTATGAGTCATCATTGAAGAGACATTCCAGGATGCCTGATGAAAGACTTACAACACTTTAGAATTAAAAACATTAGCAAAGGTTGTACAAATTAAGTTTCAAAATTCTGAATATTAATTAAAGGTTTTCCCCATTCCAAAAAATGCTTATTAAAGAAAAACGGCTGAATCTCCCGAAAGAATGACAAATTTGGTGGCATTTAACTTGTTCTAATATGATTCCTTTCAATCCATTTTCACAGTACCCTTCAAAACTAACAGCAATCACTGAAGGGGGCACAGTAGCTTTGGATCTCTCCAAAAGCCCCATTTCCAGAGAATTATCACTATTTTACCAGACTGAGAAGTTCTTTCTGGCCTTGTCTCTATCTTCCCTGAGTCAGAGCTTGCTCTCTGTGATCAACCTTATTCTAGGGAAGTATGTAGCTGCAGGGGCAGCATTACAAGTTGGGGCTAAGAAGAGGTTGATCAAAAAAGTTTAAAAAAAATTGGACAATGAGATGCTCATTAGCAGACTTTGAAAACCAATGTCATATTCCTGGGAATCTAGAAAGACACATAGAATGTTCAGGGCTATATGTAAAGCCAGGGAAGAATTGAGAAGGTCCTCATTTTCAATTCTGGCCGACTTTGAGGCTGCGCATACAGCAGATTTACAAACTGCCGCTTTGAAAGTGTTTAAATTATGATCAACACACAGAAAAAATTTCTGGGCAAAGTCTGGGAGATGCACTGGTTCCAGGCATATAATCAGTAGCATACTAAGCTCATGGAGTAGCACATACAATAAATAATGGAGGCTTCACAGAGTTAGTCTAGGTAAGTCACTAAATCAAAATTACCAGCAATGACAACAAAATCTAAGGAGCAGGAAGTATTCTGATTTCCACTATTGCCCCGCTATATTAAGGTATTTGATTCTGAACAAAAATTTATGAGATATACTAGAAAAGTTTGACCTATATACAGGGAAAAAAATCCCTAATTGAACCTGTTTCTGAGAAGACCAGACATTAGATTTATTGACAAAGACTTTAAATTAACTATTATAAATATGTTCAAAGGATTAAAATGAGAGAATCATGTCTGAACAACTAAAATACAAGAATATCTTCCCAAATACAGAAGACAGAAATTATGAAATAAAAAATGAAAATTTGAATACAAAATTTACTAGAAAGTTTCAATAAGCAAGTATGAATTGGCAAATTAATAAACCAACAAATGCAAGAATGGTTAACTGAGAGTACAAAGTTTGAGGGATATAACAAAAAAGGAATGAGGAAAAATGAGTAGATCCATAGAGAACTGTGGGATACCATCTAGCACACTAAAATACACAAAATGGAATATTATCAAAAGAAAGAACAGAGTAGAAAAGTTTGAGCATAGTCATAAGCTTCCCAAATTTGATTTTAAAAAAGAGAAGACGTAGACAACCAAAAAGATTAAGGATCTCTGATTAGGATAAACACAAACAGATGCACACTTAGAAAAAAAGTTAAACTGTCAAAAGCAAAAGATAGATTCTTAGTCTGGCCTGATAGCTCAGTGGACTAAAGCACCTGCTTAGGCAGAGTGCAATGGCTAGGGTTTGATACCCAGCATGTCATGCCGGCCCTGCCTGTAGGGCATGCTGAGAAGGCTATTAAGACTGGGCATGGTGGCATGTGCCTGTAATCCCAGTGCTAAGGAGCCTGAAAGTGGGAGGATTAGTACAAGTCTGAGCTGAGAAGTGAGATGCTGTACCAAATATATTTTAAAAAATGGTAGCTAGGTTTCTAGGAAAAGGAGACCCTTATTCACTGTTGGTGAGAATTTAAACTCATACAACCATTATGGAAATCTGTACGAAGATCGCCAAAAACTAAAAGTAGGTATTTCATTCAATCCAACTATTTTTCTCCTAGGTATCTTCCTAAACGATATAAATATATTATATTACGGTGATATATGGCTTGTGCTATGGTTTATGCCTAGATGTCCCTCCAAAGCCTCCTGCAGCCACAGGTGGGGCTTTTTCATAAGTGGCTGAATCTAGAGTGTGTGATGCTAGTATTGATTCATGGTGCAATGCTAGGCTCAAGGGCACTAGGTTTAAGGGTGTGCGTGCTACCTGCCCTAAGTAGTCTGGATAAGGTATAAAGGGATAGAAAGAGTTGTAGTTGTCCTTTGCTTACCTTTTGCCCACCATTAACTGCTTCTCCTTTGCAATACCACCAAGCCTTAGAGCCAGCTGATTATAGACTAAAACCTCTACAAACTGTGGGCTAAACAATCTTTTCCTCCTTTAGCTTTGGGTGTTGGGTAGTTTTTTCTCAACAGCAATAAAAGTAACTAAAACATAGGCATACCGATATTTATAGCAGCATGGCTCACAGCAGCTAAATATTGGAAGTGGCCTATGTGTCCATAAACAGATAAATGAAGAAAATATATTTATATACATTGGAAACTCCTATGCCACAAACAAGGATAAACGTATTTGTAAGAAAATGAATGAACCTTGAAATTATAACATTAAATCAATTAGATGAAAGGTACAAGCTTAAGTATCACATGGTTTCTCTTATATGGGAAACCCAAAATATAAAGAGCAACATAAAAAGATCACAGAAAAAAAGAAACGGAAGAAGGGAGAGGAAGGGCAAGGAAAAAAATGCAGCCAAGAGGCAAGGGAGGAGAAGGCAATGTAAAAAGATGTGTTACTACATGTACTGAATACACACAATGAATGTAATCATTATGTAGTACAGACATGGAGTAATAAAAGTAAAAAACAAAAAAACAGAGTACCAGTAGATGTATTTTTGTTTGTAACCCTTTTCTTCTCCCTCCTCACTTAAAAGTCTACTGTACAAAGAGTATCTGGGAGGCTGATCCACAAGGATCTCAAGTTCAAGCCCAACTTAGACAACCTGGGGTGATCCAACTTCAAAATTGTTTTTAAAAGGGGCTGGGGATGTAGCTCAGTGTGATAACCCTGGGCCCAATCCTCAGTACTTTACAAAAAGAAATAATTATTAAAACCGTGCTGTTGAGCATAATGCTCTAATTTATTTTAAAAGAATAGCACAAAAATGGGGAGAAAACAACTTCTGTATGTTGGGAAAGCTTTTGCATAATATTAAAATTGAGTTGGTTCAAATCTAAAACTAGATTGTTTTAAGAAGTTAAGTGTAGGGGCTGTGGAGATGGCTCAGTGGAATAAACGCTTCCCTGGCAAGCGCAAGGGCCTGAGTTCAATCCCCAGTTCCGCAAAAAATAAAAAAAAATAAAAAAAAGAAGTGTGATCTTCAAGTAAACAAAATGACTAAAAATAGTAAAAGGTATGTCAGTAGAAGTAAAATTAAATATAGTGTAACATAAAAGAAGGGGTTGATGGACGACTAAAGATGTAATACCTATAAAAATAACCTGAAAATTGTAGGTAAAAATTCTACTATATCAGTAATTATACTAAGTTAAATGAATTGAACACTCCAATAAGAAACCTGAAATGGTAGAAGGTAAAAAAAAACCATGATTCAACTACTACACATGTAAGAGACATATGTTAGGCTGTTACCATATGTTAAGACATATGCTCAAATATACAAATAGGTAGAATGTAAAAGATTGGGAAAATATGCCATATAAACAGTACCCCTGCAAACTGAACAACTATACTACTATCAGACAAAATACGGTTTAAGACAATTTTTTTAATGAGCAGAATATATCTGAGGGAAAGAAAGCTCCTGTCTGAGAGAGGGGCAGTAGGGGGGCCACAAGTGGGTGGTCTCCAAGACAAAAATTGTTACTAGACACAAATGGTATTTTAGCATATTAAAAGGGCCAATCTGGGGCCGGGGAGATGGCTCAGTAGGCTAAGCGCTTGACTGGCAAACTCAAGGATCTGAGTTCAATTCCCGGTTCTGCCAAAATAAATAAATAAATAAAAATAAAAGGGCCAATCCATCAGGAAAGCATAAAAGTTATCTATGTAATTAACAACAGGACTTCAAAATAGATAAAGCAAAAACTGAAAGAACTAAAGGAGAAATGCAGTAATTTAACATAGTAATTCACAATTTCAGTATCCATTCTACAATGGAGAGAACAATTAGGCAAAAGATCCAAAAAGATATACAAGACTTAAACAGCATTATATAAAAATAAGATTTCACAGATACCTATACAACCCTTCATTCGATAAAAGAGCACATACTCTTCTAAAATGTACATAAAACATTCTAAAGTATAGACTATACTGGGCCATGAATCAAGTCTTGATAAGTCTCGAAGTACTGAAATCACACAGAGCATATTCTCCAATTGTGTGGGAAAATAACTCAGCACAGTTATGGTCAGTATATTCAAAATGTCAGAGGAAAACAGATAGAAAAAAAATTTCACTAAAGAATTTATTATTTTTAGTGGCCATATGAGTGGCTGGGGAGACAGTTTGGAGGTCTAAGTGCCTACCTGTCAAGTTCAAGGACTGGAGTTCGATCCCCGGTACTGCAAGCCGTGCCAGCCCTGGAACCCTGGGGGCACCGTGCCAGCCACCAAAACCAGGTGTGGTGGTGCACCCCTGTAATCCCAGTGCTGGGGAGGCGGAGACAGGAGGATCATTACTAGTCTGAGCTCTGTAGCCAGACCCTGTACCAAATAAATAAAAGATATTTTAAATATATAAAAAATGGCCATTTGAGATGAATAGACTTTTCTCAGAAGTACACACAACGTATAAAGACATGAAAAGAGGTTAAACATCACTGGTTACTGAAGAAATGCAAATTAAAACTATGCTGAGATTCCATCTCACTCTAGAAAGTCCACCAGTAAGAAATGCTGGCAGGTGGAGAGAAAAGAACACTTCTTCACTGTTGGTGGGAGTGTAGACTACTACAATTAAGTGTAGACAGTCCTAAAAAAATAAACAAACAAACAAACTGGGATTACACGTCCAATTTGACCCAGCTATTCCACTTCTGGTTATCTTCCCTGAAGAATTAACAGCATTATACTACAGAGATATATGTGCATCCATGTTTAAAATTCTTTAAATATTAGTATTTTTTAAAAAAGAAAATGGCTTATAGGACAGTAAATTAGGGCAAGCATGTTGAAAACCTGATGTTATCTACCAAAGCTAAACCAATGTACTTTCTATGACCTAGATAGATACAGGAACAGAAAGTTATATATATTTTATAAAATAACATACTAGAATATTCACAGTAACACTATTAAGGCACCAAACATGAAGTACTCAATACAGAAAATAATAGCCTACTTTTTTATAATAGAATTCTATACAGTAAAGAGAATAAATGATATCACTGCATACAATACAGATAAATCTTACAAATATAATGGTAAGCAAAAAAAAAAAAACTATAGACAACGAAGAATACAGGATCTATTATTTTTATAAAGTTCAAAAACTAATACATGGTACCAGAAGTTAGGACAGTAGTTACCCTTGTTGAGGTTGAAGTAGAACCGAGGATGGAAGGGGTTTGACATATTAGGGGTGCTTACACTACAGTGGTATGTTGGTTAATGACCATACAACCAGAATTACGGGAAGAATTAAGTTTGTAAACTAAAGCAGCACTGTATCAACTTCTTCAATCAGAACCTTGTTATTGAGTTGTGTTCATTTTGTGAACACAGAATATATTCTGCATTCCATGTGTATTTTTCCCTACGTATATTATATTTCAGTGAAATGTCATTAAAACTATTGTTAAAAAACACTGAATTTGTCAGAATTAAAATCTCCCAAGAATACTTTGTCTTACATATTTTTAGTCACTTACTGAAAAATGTTGACAAATAGGGTAATGGACATGATATTTTAGAAGAATCAACTCTGTTGCATTTGTATACAACTTCTTTAACTGCAAGCTAATTAAAAATTATATAAAAATTCAAATTCAAATTCATTTTCTAAAGGGGGACATAAATGAAGGACCATTTTGTAGTGAAAAATATATATGCATATACAAAATAGGATCGATATTCAGCTACTTTCTCTCTCTTTTTTTTTTTGGCAGAACAAGGGATTGAACTCAGACCCTTGTGCTTGCCAGGAAGCGTGTATTCCACTGAACCATCTCCCTGGCCCCTCAGCTACTTTCTCTTAGTATGAGAATGAGAAGAAAGGTTTGTACTAATATTATTTAGACAAGATATCATGTATGCATCTTTTACTCTGAATAACTATGAAGACAACGATATGTAATGTAGTAATGATTGTAACTGTCCTACTAACCTGTTTTGAAAATGTTTCATTGCTATCTCTTTTTCATTAAAATTAGTAAGAAAATTAAAAAACAACATTTCAAAAAACAAAAACAAATTCCTTTCCAAATGGTCAAACTAAGCACACTGTGACCAAACTGATCAAAGTTTAAAATTCTATTATCTGGGGGGCCGGGGAGATGGCTCAGTAGGGTAAACGCTTGACCTTGCAAATGCAAGGATCTGAGTTCAATCCCCGGTTCCGCCCCCCCCCCATCCAAGTAAGCTTTTAAAAAAAAATTCTATTATCTGATTTTTGAATGTATTCTGCCAAATAACCTATCTCAATTATTTATCTAAAAATTCAAACATATTGTGCTGAATTTAAAAGAACAAATACATACAAAAGTAGGCAAACTTTTCTCCCAAGAATAAAAGACATTAGCCTCAAAGTTCAAAGAGCTTTCATACTTGAAGGAGCAGAACCACCTTTGGTTATACAGTACTGCCTTACAAAAATCCTCTGATTCAGGCATCAGCTGAGGGTTTTTATGGAGAAAGGGGAACCAAGGCTTACATATGAAATTCAAGCAGATCATTGTTTATATCCAATGATCACAATATGCTTTGCTAACTTCCTAGGATTAAGGTCAGTAACTTTAAAGCTCCATTTCAACCTAAAAGCAAATATATAACTCTGTGAACTAGTCACAAAAAAGCCAAACATAACTCATTGGTTTTCTCAACTTTGTTATGAAAGCAAAAAAACTACCTGTCTGTCATCTATTTTGTGGTACTAGGGAATGATCCCTGGGCCTTCACATTAAGCTATGATCCCCAGTCCTTTTAATTTTCTTTTTCTTTGAAACAGTCTTGGTAAATCATTAAGTTACTAAGACTGGGCTCAAATATGTAATCTTCCTGCCTCCAACTCTCAGAGCAGGCACTAAAACTACAGCCATGTGCCACCATGCCCAGCATATTTTTCCACTTCAAATGAATAAATATTATATATTATACATTTATAATTAGTTGTATGTTGCTAATATATTCATTTTGACAGAAAAACAATTACACATACTCAAATACAAAATAAACAGAAGCACAGTATAAAATTTTATATTTTTATCTTACCTGACACATTTTTATCATATTCTACAGGGCTTTGAATATTACTCCTGTAAGAGCTGAAAGGCTGGCTACTCAAAAGGTTATCACACTGCAGGGTATGGCACAAAGTCTCAAGAAAGCGAAGAGCAAAGGATGCACTATTCACCGGAGGTAGCTGGATGGAATGAGTTTCCCCATCAAAGAAGGCTATTTAGGGAGAAAAAGATGATGTCAGTCATCTTATAAAGTTAAAAAAAATACGATGTAAATAACCTCCTTCAATCTAGGAAACAGATGATAAATTTCATTTGTGGTTTTTGTAATTCATAGAGGAATAAAATTATAAAAGTTCTCATTCAAACAGTATCTTGCATTGGTTAAAAACTCATTTAAAAATATTCACAAAGTAAACAAAAACAACAGAAACTCCACTGATCTCTAATAATGCACATTTCTATTCCAAATAGTCCATCTGCAAAAATGTGGTATCAAATCATGTAAGTATGGAAACTACCTGCTGTATTCTTTCTCTTCATGAGTTCTTGAATCACATTTTTATTTGTAACTTATTCATTAACCTATTTTCTATACAAATTAAAGCATAACTAAGGTAGTGTCTGTCTATATTGAGCTTGGCACAGCATATAAAAGGAAAAATCTGTGCCTTTTACCGTAATTTATAGTATTACTCTGCTATCATTTGTCTGTTATAAAGGTAAACTTTCCAAATGAGGGTTAAAAGTCTATAAATATATATTATACACATTCTAAAAGTCAAATATTATAGCATAATTAGAATATATATATTATGAATAGTCTATGTTATAAAATTCTAGCATCTAAACTTAAAATCACATGTGGAAAAGCAGCTGAATAGAGAATTAGATTAGTATACCAGTTATCACTTCTCCTCCACGATTATCTGGTTTAAGAAATCCAAAAACAATCTTTGACTCAAAGGCAGAATCCACACAGGCTTGTACAGTTCGCCGGAGTACCACATTCACAGGGCCTGGGCCAAAATGATCAGGCAGCTGCTGGACTCTCCTTGGGTCCAGGTAAGGGCCAGTGTTTCCATATTTGTTTATATAGACACAGACTTCGGGGAAAATACAGATACAGATACAATGATATCGATTAGAAGGAAATTTGTGAAAATACTATGCAATTACTATACTTAAAAAGTCACTTCACTTAAAAGAAATCTAGATATAGTTAGCATCAATGGTCATTTCTGATACCTATGTAGATAAATACATGCGTGTAAGGGTATTAAACATACAAAGAAAAAAATGTTTAATCAATACTTTAGAACTGTACCCCAAATAATTTCATTAAAAAGATACAAGTTTAAGGACCATCACAATAATTCTTCACAATTTCCATGTTATATAAAATGACATAAAGATAGTTGATTATTCTCTTTAATTGTACATATAGTACAAGAAATTATTTTAGGGCTGGGTATGGTGGCTCACACCTAAAATCTCAACACTGGACAGGCTGAGGCAGGACTGTTTCAAGTTCGAAACCAGCCTGGGCTACAAAGTGAGCTACAGGCTAGCCTGAACTGTATAGGGAGACCCTGACTCAAAAAAAGAAAGAAAGAATTTCCTTTAAAACCTGGTCACTTGGATATACTCTTGTTGGACTAAATTTTCTTTTAGGTTACTAATATTGAGCCTCAATTGTATTTTCTGAACCAAATAATTTAACATTTCTTCTATATATGGCAATTTGAAGAGAAAAAATTTCTTTCAGTTTAATGATACAATTTATATACACATAAATGATCACATTCGTTCTAGGGGATTTGCACCTGTACATGATATATCTTAATTTCTCTTTTTCCCATTTGCCTCCCCTTCCTTCAATCCCTCTTCACCTCCTTATTTATCCTTTTCTTATCCCTTCCCCCGCCCCTGGTTCCCTTCCTTTGGAACAGTTTCTTACTATTTCACAGTATTTGCTATTCAGTTTGGTTCTCATTTACACACTTTCATTTTCTCAGCAGGGAGACAGTGTGTTATTTACATGTGTGGTCTGATTTATTTTACTTAAGGAGTAGGGGATGTGAGGGCGATCTGGCTGTAACATCTGTCACCCCATGGATTGCTAGGTTTGATTCAGCTGATCTGGCTGGCTAGAGGGGTGTTCTTGCCCTCTCTCAATGCATCCCTTTCCAAAGCTGTGAACTCAGTCGAAGAAGACATCCACCCTAGATAGAAGACTGTTCCTTGGTCAAGGGTATACCAGTAGCTGTGTTCCTCTGCTAGAACCTCCAAACAAGCGCTGAAGAGTGTAGTCCCAAGGTGCGTTCATTTACCTAGAAATGTCTCAAGTGTATCCTTCCTTACAGCTGAGTAGTACTTCATTGTCTAAAAACCCCATATCTTCTTTATACCTTTATCAGATGATGGGCATTTAGGTTGTTTCCAATATTCAGCTATTGTAAATTGTGCTGCTATAAATGTGGGTACACATACATTGTTGTGGCATAATGTTTTTAATTCTTTTGGGAAGATACTAAAAGGGGGAATACCTGGGTCCAACGGGAATTCTAGCCCTAGTATTTTGACTACTCTTTACACTGATTACACTAGTCTACACTCATGCCAACAGTGAAGGGTTCCTTTTTCCCCACAGCCCTGCCAGAATTTGTAATTGTGTTATCTGAAGAAAATTTTAAAGTAAACTCTTTTCTAGTATAATAAGGCACATAACAGAAAAGTAATTCATCTATAATCACACAACATTCAAGGTTCCATAATTTTTTGAAAATCGATGTAACTATGAAAATACAAAGGTATGTCATTACCGAACCTTAATAGGTTCCTAAATCAAGAAGCACATTATTTTTTTAAGAAGCACATTATTTAAACATTAAAATATTATGTGTTTCTATGAGCATGAGGATATATTTAGCTTGTTCTGCATCCTATAGTAAATCCTCAAACTTCCACCAAAAATAAAAACATTAGTTTATAATGTAAATTTTCATATATTATTTCACCTCTGTTTTGACTGCAACTTATGACTCAATCAATACATGAGGTGAGGTGTTTTTCACCCATTGTATCGTGTTAGTACTCAAAATGTTTTGAATTTTGTAGCATTTCAGATTTTCAGATTTCAGAAATCTGAAATTTTGGATTATGCATTATCAACTGGTGTTTATTTGGTTAGTCTTTCTTGCTGATAAAAAAAAGCAGAAATAAGGGGCCAGGGAGATGGCTCAGTAGAATAAGCACTTGCCTGGCAAGCGTAAGTAAGGGCCCGAGTTCAATCCCCGGTTCCACAAAAAAAAAAAACAAAATCAGAAATAATAACCTAAACAATGGAGCATGGCATATTAATCACTTTAAAGTAATTTCTATTTCAAAAAAATTGAATCAATATTTCCTTTCAGTTAGGAAAGAAAAATGTTGGAGAAAAACAAGATGCAGTAGAACATGTTTTTTAGAAACTGAGCAAATGTACAGGAGATAACATATTGGGGTATGTATTGGTTCAAACTCATACAAGATAACAATTTAAAGTTATCATTCTCCTTCACAGGCAAGGGTTTTCTTAAAAAGTATTTTCAAAAAGCATTAAAAAAAGGTTTGACATATCTTGAAAATACATACAATTATAAAAGGCAGTATACAATCTGAAGAGATAAAGAGAAAATAACAGATTTGTCATATGCTGAGCTGTGAAAGGCTCAAGTCAACAACTTCTGACATTGCCAGTCCTATAGATAACCCACTACTATTATGGACTATTGGACTATATTGGAATATTTTGCTGAATTCACATACTTGCAGTATTTAAACAGCAATGGAATATCCAACTCTGACAAAACTAAACAAAAAAAAGGGATATAAATGAAGGACCATTTTGTATCTGTATATACAAAATAGGATAGATATACAGCTACTTTGTCTTAATTCAATGAGAAGAAAGATGTGTACTGATAGTGTTTGGACAGGCTATCATGTCTGCATCTTGTACTATGAATAACTACTAGGAAGACAGCAATATGCAATGTATTAATTATTGCTGTCCTACTAACCTGTTTTGAAACTCTCACTGTTATTTTTCTCAATAAAATTAATTTAAAACAATAGATTTGTCAATGACAGAAATGTTATCATTTAAATGGATCAAATGATGTAAAGATATTGTTTTCTTTAAACAGATACCAACATCAAATTGAACAAGGAGAATTATAAAATAATATGAAAAATACTGAAGGAAATATTTACTATTCCCATTTTTTTCTTTTTTGGACTTTAAAGAATCTCAAAGTAATACTGAATAAGAGATAGGTAATTGTATAGCTCTCTGAAAAGTATTAATTTACCTGTAGACATCACGATTTTAGATGGTGCAGGATTGATATTTCTATCATGCGAAATTCTCGCCAGTGTTCTTAGAGAGGTTGTAGATGTAGAACACAACACGGGAATAGTTTTTTCCTGTTAAACAAAAAGAACAGAAATACACAATACTCTCTGAAAACTGCTTGATAAGAAAGTAAAAGAAAATTAGGCATTGTTGGTTCACAACATTATCAGCTATCAGAAATGCTCAAGGTTGAAAATCACTGTATCAGTGATGGAGACAAGTGCCCAAATTGCAGCCCAAAATCTACTTATTTATTAATGTATAAAAACTGCAATTAAGCCTGAATGCTGAGGTTTCAGTTCAGGAAAAAAACTTGTATAATAACATCTATTCACCCTAAAGGATTTTACAAATTTACCTGCAAGCCACAGGTTCATCACTATTGCACCATATTTATCATGAACTCCAACTGCTTTACAGGGTAAGATTTTCTGCCCTATCCCTTGCTCCAAATGATCATTTATTAGTCAAATTTGTTCACTCTTCAAAAGTGCCCTTTTCTAAGTTCCCTGTAAGACAAGGTTGTTTTTTTCTCCTCACAATGCTAACGTCTGGAAGTCACTTTCCCATAAGGAAAAAAAAAATCTCAGTAAGGTGGAAGAGTTTAGAAATTGCATAGCCTGAGTTTCTCCACTGCATATACAGTAATTCTGAAAACCTTACTAAAAAATGCCTTGCTAAAGTTCATAGAAGTTAAGCCTCTAGCCCGAAGCATCAAATATATCCTGAGCACTGTTAAACATCACCATGAGGTTTCCTTTGATTTCACAGCAAGTATTTGGATTTTCTTCGATCTTCTTTCAAACACTACTCTTTAATGTTACAAAGAGACTGATTCCTATGCTAGAGGACACTTAAAGGCAACGACAAAGGAATAAAAACAGTATTCAAAGGTGTTGAAATGTATGTGAATGACTAATATTTACGTTTATAGTATTCTAGTAAGTCGTATTTCTATATATTGAATTACAAATACTGTCATTTATCTTACTCATTTTAAAATCTGAATGCCCTGACTTGAGATATATTAAGACATAATGTTTACATCATCATTGGAAACTGAAAAAATGTACACTTATTTAGAAATTGTGCTTTTGTACTTCTAAAAATCCTTAAGGGCATTAAGAAAATGACAGTTTGGGCTGGGGATATAGCTCAGCGGCATAAGTCCTGCCTGGCAAATGCAAGGTCCTGAGTTCGACACTGGGCATGAAAGAAAGGAAGATGAGAGGGAGAGAGAGGGGGAGAGAGGAGAGGAAGAAGGAGAGGGAGAGAGAGAGGGGGAGAGGGAGGAGGATGGGGAGGGGAGGAGGGTGGGGAGGGGGAGGATGGGGGAGGGAGGGGAAAAGGGAGGGGGAGATACACACACACACACACACACACACACACACACACACACACAGACGGGGAGGGAATAAATGAGACTTTGCAAAGCAAAGAGGCTACTCCACATACGGTTTAGTCAGTTCATAGACTTGGTGTAAATCTAAACTGTGAACTTGGCCAATAGCGAGACACGAATATAGGCAAACCTATGAGAGTCTTCTTTGTAGTGAAATAATAAAGTTAAAAAAGATGAAACTGAACCAAAATTCTGCCTTTACAACAAAACTAGAGTTTATTATCAAAACAAGACTATAGCACCTATCTCTTCCCTCTCCTTATCACCAAATTAAACAATGTTTTCTTTAAAAATAAAGAACTGCCACTGGAAAATAAAATGTCCAAAGTTATTAAAGATGTGCATTTTCTACATGGTCTTGTTTTTTGCAGCCGATGAACTTCCTTTTAGCATTTCTTCTAGTGTTAGGTTCTTCAGTGATAAATTCTCTTTAATCAGCTTTTATCTGAAAAATTTCTTCAGCTAAATTTTTAAAAGCTAATTTGTATTTTATTTTGTTTCATATTGAAGTATTAATGAGGGAAGGTTTCTTTCATAATAGCAATAAAAAGCATAAAATACCCAGAAATAGATATGAATAAAACTAAATGAACATATGAATTACATAAAGAAAATGGTAACATTATAGGAAGTCTTTAAGATTTGTTCTTTATCTCTCGTTTTCAACACTTCGATATGCCTTGGCTTACAGTTTATTTTTAACTGTGTATTCTGTCTGTATATATGTCTATTTTTCACAAAAATGAAAATTTTTTTTAATTTTATTTTATTTGTGTGTGTGTGTGTGTGTGTGTGTGGCCAGCTCAGCCCACCAGGGGGCGGGGCTGGCTGGCATGTGGTGCTGGGGGATTGAACCGTGGTCCCCCAACCTACCTAAGCTTGTTCTAGGTAGGTGCTTTAGACCACTGAGCCATCTCACCAGTCCCGAAAAAATTTGAGATATTGTTTCTTCAGAACTTACTGTACCCCATCTTTTTCTTTTGGGGCTCCAAATGCATATGAGTTAGCCCTTTGATATTACCTAAATTTTAAAATCTTAAAAGGTCCCTAGAGCTATTTATTTTGTTTCTCAATCTTTTTTATTTTATCTCACTTCTTCACACTGAATAATTGCGATCTTCCAGTTCACTTGCTCTTTTCCTTTGTCATCTCCAGTCAATTCCTATTAATTTTATACAGCAATTTTTAATACCTGAACTTTCATTTGACTCATTTCTATCCTTTCTGCTTCTCTGCTAAGTAGCCTATTTTTTAATCCCTGAAATTATGTATGTGTGCTTATAACTTCAAGGACAATTTTAACAGCCACTTCAAAATTTTTATTGGTTCCAACATCAAGATCATACATGTGTTCATTTTGCTGTCTTTTGGCCACTGTATCCTAGACAATGAATGTTAATTTATGCAGATTCTGGATTCTATTTCTCTTTCACAGGTGTTCTTATACCTATTTCTCCTTCACGGGTGTTCTTATATCTTAACAGAAAATTATTTGGGTTGGAAAAGCTTTAAACTCTGTTCTTGGGCTTAATTCTAGGCTCAGTGCAGAACTTTGGCTTTAGCTCTGCTGGTCTCTTTATTACCCACACGTTTGGATCGATGGTCTGTCGGAGGTGTTGGTTGATGGTTTAGCAGTCTCCTCTTTGGCTCTTTCCCTTATACAGTCTCTCAAACGTCTTCAGGAGCCACAGTCTTTCTGGATTGCATTTTTGGTTTCCTCATGCTAGATAAACCAACTCCCAACAACAGCACAGCACATGCCACACATGCGCATGTTACACAAAATGCTAAAACCAACAAAATTGGAAACTCACTTTATATAAAACCCCTTCCTTTAGGGTGCACTTTGCCTGCTATCAAAATCTATCTGCTTTCATTCATTGTCCAGTACATCTCTAATTATTAGTTTCCTTTTTCCTATTCTGGATTTTTAGATGTTTCCTTTGGGTGAATCAAGTAGAATGTAATTCAGTGTCTCAGTAATGGGAAAATAAAGTAAGACAGATTTATATCTAAATGTCTCCCAAAGTCTCATGCTTTCATGGGGATAGGGATGGGGACAGTGGGGGGAGATGACTCAATTGTGGAGGCAAAATACTCACCAGTGGATTAGTCTACTGATGAGTTTATAGCTAAATGTAATTTGGGAGGTAAAGCCTGGTTGGAGGAATTGGGTCACTGTTGGCATAGTCCAGAAGGGTTTCTTTCCTTCTTCCCTTCATTTTTTTCTCTGCTTCCACTGCCATGCAGTGAACTACTTCTGCAATCCTGTGCCTGCCTTGGAACAAGCCAACTCTGAACAGAAATCTCTATAAACTATGAGTCAAAAAAACCCCAAAAAAACACCAGACCCTTTTCTCCTTTAACTTATGAGTGTCAAATACTGTTTATAAGTAGAAAGACAGATTTTGTACCTGAGCAGGGCTGTTTCTGTGATGCTACCTGACCATGTGGTTCAGAAGCCTTTAAAACTGGCTTACAGGAGAAGTTCGAATGTTTTAGAGACACTGACCAGAGAAGTGGCCCTAGAATCCTATGAGCCAGCTTGACGGGAGATTCTGGTCACAGCTTAGAAAACCATATGGTTACAGCTATGAAAGACCAAGCTCAAGAGCTTTCAGTAGGGAAGAATGATTCCACTGGGAGATAGAATCCAGGATAATCTGTTTGCATTTTACTCAGGCACAGTAAATTTGTGGAAACCTAAGATTAAGGACAATGGACAATTAACCTGGTAAAGGAAATTTCAAGGCAGCCAAACATTTAGGCTGTGGCTTTGAGTGGTGTTGGGATCTTTTACCCAGCTCTACACTACAAATTAAGAGCAAACAGGCCAGAAGAATGATTTTTAAGCCTTGAATTTGATCAGAAAGGAAAGTTGGGGCCTAAAAGATGATGCAGAGGAGAACCTGGTTTCTGAAAAGCTCAGCATTAAAAAGGCAAAGGCTCAGTTTTTTTCAACTTTGGTGCTTGTGAATACGGTAAGCCACTGTAAAGGTCACACAGTTCAGAAGAAAGGAATAGAGCTAAGTGAAAATATGCCTCCTTTCCATATTGATGAAGCAGGTTACAGTAATCATCTATAAAGTATTAAACATTTTAAAAGAGAATTCCATTGCCCATGTGGGCTTATACAGCAATTGCTTTGTGAATTCTTAGAAGAGATTGTGGCCTTCCATTTAAAGTAAACATGTAAGCAGAGTGGGTCACAAAATAAAATTGTTGAAGTAAACATGAAACAAGACAAACTCTCACAGAATGCAGGGGAAAGGGCAAATATATTTTAAAAAGAGGAGGAAAACAGAGCTTGTCCAGGAGACACAATCTAAATGTAACAGGAACACCTGACACAGAGGACAAAGCAAATGAAGCTGAAAGCATAATTAAGGAAATACTTGAAAACTTTCCAGAGATAAATAATGAAGCAGGCCCACAAATGAAGGTATCTCTAAAATTTTGTAAGAAACAAACACTTAAACATATCCTTATGACTTTTAAAACTTTCAAGAATAAAGAAAAAGATTTTCAAGTATTCCAACAGAATAGGTTCCCTGTAAGGGACAAAAGTCAGCCTAATCTCAGATTTTTCTCTTACAATTCTAAATGCCAGAAGACAACAGGACATCTACACCTTTAAGGGAAGTTTTAAATGAAGAACCACATACTGAATCAAGTTAATATTTGTATATGAAGGCAAGTGGAAGACTTTCTTAGATATCAATGGGTTGGGAAAGTATATGAACCAAAATCCTCTAAAAATTTTGCTTAATGATTTACCACAGCCAACAGAAAAGTCAAAAACAGTAAGCAGATAAATGGATGAATCATTTAATGACTAAAACTAGTTAAGAAGTGTGGTGTGCAAAACTGTTATGTATAGGGTAATAAATACAAATACAAAATAGATTTGTAACCTAGATCTAATTTTTTCAGTTTATGTAATTTTAAATGGTCAAAGTGATGCCAAACACTCAATGTAATGGGCACATACATAGTGTTTTATTTTTGTCAAGTAGTATTATAATGATGCATGTTGTTAAAACAAATGTATGTTAGATGAAAGTATTTTGTCACTGTGGATAGGACAAGTACTATAAAGACATTCTAAATGTTAATCTGAGATTTGGGAATGATACGATTTTATTTCCTTTTAAATAAAAAAAAAACAAACAAGTTTATAGTGTTAGAATGTAAGGAGCGGGGCCTGGAAGATGGCTCAGTGGAATAAGTGCTTCCCTGGCAAGTGCAAGGGCCCGAGTTCAATCCCTGGTTCCACCCCCCCCCCCCAAAAAAAAAATGTAAGCAGAAAATTTCCGAATTACTAGTTGGAGGGGCGGGGATAGATCTGAAATACGGAACTACAGAACAAGGAAAAACAGCACTGCTGCATCAGGTGGTAGTTCCTATTTGTTCAACTTGTCATTGGGTTGTGGGCAAAAATAAGATTATAAATATTACAAGTCGCTGAAATTGAAAACAAGTGAAAAACTAAGATGCAGTAGCAAAAGAAAAATACTATAGATGCATTAAAATTTGCAGAAAAGATATATTGACAGAGATAGAAGTGAATTATATAGCAGTTAAATTCCCAAGTAATAAGATCCAAATTTAGTAAAACAAAAACTAAACTCTTATCCACAATATTCTTATCTGTAAAACATGGAGGTTTAAAGTATTTAAAGGTAGTAGAAACTCTTTCAGTTTAGAAATGGATAGTATTTTTATAAGGCAGAAATAGGGGTGTTATAAGAAATTTCACATTTAAGAGATTACAGCATTCATATTGTTCAATATGCTGAAGTGGGTGGTAGCTTTACTGTTGTAAAACAATATAGATGCATGTATTTCAAAACACATTTGAAATTAGCGATTTTATGTGCTTAAAATTCACTGAATGAATAACTACAGAGAATATATATAGGAAAAATAGTAAAGTAGCTTGGAATAGGACAAAAGAAAAGACAGCCTGAGGGGATCACAAGAACCAACAGGATTTCACTCTTGCAGGTTCAAGATCAAGGCTAATCTCTGCTTTGAGAAGAGAGCTCCAGGGCAACTTGCTCTGGAAAGGCCGCAGCCTAGGGAAGGGAAATTGAATCCTCAGAATTCAGTTCACTGTGCTCAGCCATTCAGACACTCAAAGGTCTCTGTAACCACAAGCAAGACACAAAAGGCCTCAGCTACTGCTCCAGCTGGTAGCAAGCATCATCTGCATGGTGCTGGTTTTAGACGCATGCAGAATGAAAAAGTTAGGGATCAAGGAAGTTTCCACCTAGATTTCAGAACAAGGCTTCAGGGGCCGGGCAGTAGCTCCTCAGAGGGCAGTTTGTGAAGCTGTAAGAGTGAAGTCAATGCAGCAGAGACCCCAGGATGTTGGAAAACTAGGAATGTGGAACATCTGTGGAAAGCCCCAAAGACTGAGTAAAAGTCAGCCAAGAGAAAAGCTATGAGGGCTACAAGGATTGTCAATGCTTAGGGGTGGGGCCACCTAAGTCCTTTGGAGTTTACACACTTAGCCACAGATTGTCCCAGGTGCTGAGCATGGAACTACAGAATTTAATGTTTGCCCTGTTGGATTTTGGTCTTGCTTTGGTCTCATTCTTTTCTATTGCCCTATTTCTACTTTTGGAATGAGAATATTTACCCTGTACCTTTGTATATTGGAAAAATTTAACTTTCTTTTCATTTTTACAGAGGCCCCCAGGTAAGAAAGAATTTGCCTTAAATCTCAGAATAGACTTTAGAATTCAACTATTCAATGCTGAAGCTATCAGGACTTTGGCAATTCTTGAAGATGGTTTAAATGCATTTTTCATAAAGAAAGGGGCTTGCATCTTTGTGGGACATCTATATATAAACCATTAACACTCAAACATTACTAAACTCATCATGCCAATTCCCCACCCATCAGTCTATTGAAAGTATAGTTTATGTACAGTAAAATACATTTCATATGGATTTTTAAAGCACACTAAATTTTATTCAAGTACAGTGGCACATTCTTTGTAATCCCAGCTCATGAGGAAGCTGGGATTACAAAGGGAAAAAGACTAAGTTGAAGGAGAGCAAGGGTAACTTAGCAATACCTCATTTCAAAGTAAAAAGGGCAGGTAATGTAGTGTAGCGTTAAGAGTGCTTACCTAACAAGTGAAAGGCATTCATTCCCCAAAATGACATAATAGCTTCTAAAAGTATATAAATTTTATTTTTTGGTACCAGGAATCGAACTCAGAACCTTGCACTTGACAGACAGGTATTTAAGCTGCTGAGCTATCTCCCTGGCTAAGGGTATATAAATTTTAAATTAACTAGCTAGGACATAAATATGCCCATATAGTACACTCACAGTAGTTTTGAAGAAACTTATGAGAGGTTTCACAAATTATCTAAGAAATGTCTCAATAGCTATGTGAGGCCTTAAAGAACTCTGTATGATCATAATATATTCCTAAAGGGCCCAATCATATTCTTGATAAATTCCTAATTGTGTAACATAAAGAAGGCACTATAGAGAACTATTTACAAATTAGTAGGAGATACAACTAACCTTTTTTCCTGAGCTTTGACCTTTTTTCTTTGGTATATTTTTATAAGAACTGCCCTTCTTAGAGGCTGCAGTAGGTCCAGATGGTTTAATTCGAGCAGATTTCCTGAGATGTTGTGTTGACAGTATTACAGCAGTTTCCTGCGGAGACTGCATTGAATGCTGGGTTGCGTCAGAAGGGGAAGATTGTATTTTTTCTGTATTCTTTGCAATAGGAACTGAGAAAAACATGACAAAAAATTAAAGCAAATGACATAATTAAGACATTATCTTCTAAGTTTAAGTTAATCTTTAAAACTCTCCTCAAAGGTTATTCCTTATAAATCACTTAAAAAGTACTATTTATAATTAAGTTTTAAGTACTTCAAAATTTCTACCTTCAGGAAATAATCTAATTCTCCAGAAAAAAAAACAGGTTTTTATAAGAGCAATTAGTAACTTTGATTTAGCACAGGGAAGATTTCTAGCAATTTACTTTTGGCTACTTTCTGTATTTTTTTTCTTTTACCTTAGTAGAGAAAGTCTTTCCTTCAGAAAATACTACCCAATTATGCATTTATAGAAATCATCATGTACATCAATATAGAAAAACAACAAAGCAACTACCTAGGACTCTTTATTCATCTTTCAGAGATGCTAGTTAATTCTTTTTTTCAGCTTTATAGAAGTATCATTTAAAAATAAAATTACACATATTTAAGGCTAGATATCTTATATTCTTATTATATTCTTATGTGTACATCAAATAATAAAGTTTCAAATCCTATGACACAGATTCTATATTAATACTGTCATAGAAAGGCTACTATCATGCCCAAGTGATACGAGGGTACTAGTTACCTGGTAGCCCAATCCAGACATTTTTAATATTTTGAGTGAAAATTACCTACCAAGTTACTTTTGTCTATGTTCATAGTTCAAGAAAAGAGACATTTGTAGTATTAATCCCTTAATAATTCATTATTTAAAAGAATAAATTTTATATAGTAAAGAGTACTAGAGCCAAATTAAAAAAATTTACAAGAGTCATATAAATGAAATGTTTATACACTTGTACAAAAATCAAGTTTGAGGATTTCATTTTACAACCTGAAACAATCTACTGCTTTGCTCCTCTTACACTCAAAGTCTATGAAGGTATAATCTGACCTAATACAGAGTATCCCATCATTTCTGCAGCCTTTGAATATACCATTAACTTATTAAACTCATAAGAGGCCAGAAAAAATACAAGACCATTTAACTACCACCATCACATTCCTCTCTCCCTATCTTTAAAAGTAGTTGAACTATACTTACATAAGCCTTTTCTTACATTCCATTCCAGACTCATTTCTACTTCTTCCAAAAATTCCAGCAACCTGACTTACATCATTTCTTCTTACACAACTTCCTATCAATACCTTTATGATTTATCATTATACTTCTGCTGCTTCATCATTCTGACTTTATTATTGAATATTTGAGCTACTCCTTGAACTAGTTATACTCAGCAATTTATGTAACTCTATCTCCAAGACAATAGACTGTGGCCCCTTTCTCCACCTTCACTGTTCTTATTGGTTATCTTTGTTTAAAATCACCTGCCCATGTCTTATATCCTCATTAAGATATCTAGCCATGAGCTCTCACCATTTTCATCTAACCCACTCATTAGCCACCAACACAGCTAACTAGTATACTTTACATTATGATCTTGTGATCTTTGATTATGGCTGGCTTATCAACTCTCATCTGATTTCCTTGTTTCCATGCTAGAGAAAAACGTTAGCAATCCTTTTCTTTAAAGGACCAGACAGTAAATATTTCAGGCTTTGAAATATTTAGAAGGCTGCATATGGTTTCTGTCATACATTTGTTTTTCTTTATAAACCACCAATTAGGAATATAAAAATCATTCTTAGCTCATAAAATAAATAGACTGGATATGGCCCTCAGTTTTTAGTTTGCCAAAACTCCTGGTTTAGAATATTACTATGTTACTGATCTCTCTAAAATCCTGTAAGATTTTGTAATTACTAATCTTATTTGACTGTTGTGACTCACTGAAACTCACTGGTTCCCAACTTTTCCTTCTATAGCAGCACGTTTTTCCCTGTGTAAGTTTTTATCTCCCTCCTCCTCCTCTCCATTGAGCAAATGACTTAACTTTCAACTTTCATGTGATACTAATGGCTATCTTCTAGAAATGTGATTTTAACTATCCCATTTCTCAATCGTAAAAATTTTCTATTTTCAAACTTTTTTCTTTTGCATCATTTTTCTCTCTACTTTTATCACTCTAAACCTCATTTATTTACATCTTAACATTTTTATAAATTCCTTTGGGACATTATGGATTTAATTATTATCTTTTTTCATAGTATTTAATCACTTGGTTCCCAACTGCATGTTCTCTATAACAGACTTTCTCTTATCTCTAATTTTAAAGTTATCACTCAGATTCTAGTATACTTAAAAGCTTCTGAATCAATTTCTTCTGTCCACTCACTACCAAAATACCAAGAATCACCTATACCTGATATTTCAATTTCCTTACTGCTCTTTTTTTCCCTGTATTCTTCCCTCATGAAGCTTTTTTCTCCCAAAGGAAAATAAAAAATTCTTTTAGAGGTTACTGGTTATCATTTCATAATTTCTAAATTTAATAAATAACTTTCTCATTCATGGCAATCTGTTGAACTTCATAGTTCTAGTCTCCAACTGTGAATCCATGTCATGAATTAGAGTAGCACATTGTGTTCTAGACCTAGGTTCAAATTCCTATACCAGGTTAGTTTAGGAATGTCCTATACATGACAAAACGTGAAGTATAGGAAGTCATCAAGATATATTTACTAGGGGCGTGCGGGTTAGCTCAGTTGCCATGTACCTGCTTGGGCAAACCCTGTCAGGCCCAGGAGACTGCGGTTCGATTCCCATCTCCACTTGCCTCACCAGATGTGCCCTTAAGGCAGCCTGAAGCAGCCAAAAAACAATCCCTCTCAAGATATATTTACTGATGGGCCCAGAACAGTATCAAATGCCTATAATCACAACTACTTGGGAGGCTGAGCGGGACCATCATGAGTTGCAGGCCAGCCTGGGCAGCTCAGCAAGACTTGCCTTAAAAAGAAAAAAATAAAGTGGGCTGGACATGTAACTCAGCAGTTGAGCGGGCCAGGCTTTGATTTCCAGTATTAAAAAAACCCAAAATTATTGTAGAATATTACTGTAAAATGTATCTTGAAGCTAAGCATAGCAGTGCACCCCTGTAGCTACTTGGGAGATGGAGTCAAGAAAGATGGCCATTTAGAGGCAGTTTTGAAACACTATCACAAAAATAAAATTCAAGATGGGCTAAGGATGTAGCTAAGTGACAAAGTTCTTACCTAGCTTGTTGACGACCCTGGATTCAATTCCCAGTGCCACAAAGTAAAAAATGTTTTTCAACTTGAAAGTCAGTACTACATCACCAAAACTAGTACATTCTACGTACAATAATTAAGCTGTAGCAAATAAAATAGTAACTTCATAGAACAAAGTAATAAAATCAATTACTGATTTAAAAATTTTGGCATTTAATTAATTTGAACTATAGCTTAAAAACCTTCCTTAAACTATAATCTATCATAATAAAATACTTCAATGATATGTAAAGTAAAAGTAAAAATTTTATGTATGAATTCTAAGTATGGAAAATTACAATGTGGAAAGTAAACACTTCAAAGTCAGTGACTCAATTTTGTTTACTGCCACATACCTATGACCATCTATAATAGTGTCTAACTAATTTAACTGAAAAAGATCATTTCAAATATTACACATCAAATCCAAAGAGCAGGCATATACCATACATTTACACTATGCTGAAATCACACTAGCATTATAACTATATACTCATGGTGATAAAAAAGAAATGTTCTTTAAAAACTATGTGAAATAATAAAGAAGGATATACCACTCATCTTTAATAAAATTGTTAGGTGAATACCTAACACAAAATTTCAAGAAGTGGGCAAGTAAAATGAACAGATGCTTCTTAGAAACAGTACAGATAGACAACAAATATATGAAAAAATATTCAAAATCTCAGCCCATTAAATGAAAATTATAGTAATGCAAAGATTCCGCCTTACACCAGAAAGAATAGCAATAAAAGACAAAAAAATAATAAATGCTGGGGTGTGGCTATGTGAAAAAGAAACCCCCCTACATTGTTACTGAGAACATAAACTAGTATAACCATTATGGCAATCAGTACTAAGTTTCCTCAATGAACTAAAATTAAAAATTCATTATGACCCAGCTACCCCCTTCTAGGTATCGTCTCCAAAATTGATATACTTGGAAGATATACTGAGTGAAGTAAGTCAGATATACAAGCTGAAATACTATGTAATAGCTCTCATTTGAGTAGGGTAAAGTACAAAAGAACACGATAAAGGATGAACAGAAGAAAAAAAAAAGGTTAGATCTCTCATAAGTGGAAAGGGCTCTGAGAGACTCTTGGTGAGGAGAAGGAGGGGAAGGGAAACAGGTAGGATAAAGATTTGCCATGTACAGAAACATAATCCTAATGATGTAAACATTTTATTTCATAGACATGCAATAAGATCAATAATAACAATAAGAACCCAAGTGAGAAAAGGGGATTTAGAGGAGGGAGGGAAGGAATTAGGAGGGATAGGGAAGGGGATTTAAAAGAAAATTCAAGCCATATTATTTAAATGTATCCATTCTTAGAAGTGATTTTTAAACTGCATATACTATACTGTAAACATGCATTAAATAAAGAAAAAAAGAACCAAAGCATTAAAAACGTAAGATCTGAAACTATGAAATAACTAGAAAAAAACATGGGGAAAATGCTTCAAAATGGACAAAGTTGTTTTTTTCTTTTTATATGATGCCAACAGCACAGGCAACACAAGCAAAAGTAGACAACTGGCAAATGGGACTACATCAACCAAAAAAGCTTCTCAATTTGTGCTTTTCATTTACATTAACATTTTCTTGGGGCCAGGGAGATGGCTCAGCGGAATAAGCTCTTCCCTGGCAAGCACAAGGGCCTGAGTTCAATCCCCGGTTCCGCCAAACAAACAAACAAACAAACAACATTTTCTTTTAACTCATTTCTAATGTAAATTTGGCAGAAAATTGTGTGTCTTCAGTGTAAGTGGGAAATGATGACACCTTGCCTTAAATAATTACACAAAGAAATAAGTACATCTGAATT